GTGACCCCCAAAACAGCACATTCTTATTTATTTATTTGATTTATATCCTGCTTTTCTCCGGAATGGCTCTCAAAGCAGTTTGCAAAATAAAAATGTAACATCTTTAAACAGAATAACCTTTTGCATTTCCTTCCCCTGAGAAGGACATTGATGGGTTGTGTATTTATTTATTTTTCTGTTACAATAGTTTTCTTTCACATACTACTTTTCCTCCAGTGAGCTTAAGACTTTCCTCCACAGTTTGTCCTCACAATAACCCTGCAAACTAGGCCAGGCTGAAACAGAAAGTCTGGTCACCCCTTGAGTTTCGGGGCTCAATGAACACTTGAACCCAAGTCCTAGTCCAGCACTCTAACCTCTGTGCTACACTGATTCTGTTTTGGGGTTTATTTTTGCTTTTTGCAGTGCCTAGCAATATTTTTTCTGCTTTTACTTCCTCCCCACCTATTTTTTTTTTTAATTTTGCATCATCCAGCCGGAAGAAGCATTCTTGAAAACCTGTTCACAATTTTGCGTCTGTTTTAAATAGTCCTATAAAAACAGCTTGCCTGTTACTTTCCTTAAACAGGAATGGACAAATTCCCGTTGCTCTACCTGGCACCATCTTTGTTGCCTTTCCTTCCTCTCTATTTTTCAACCTGAAGAAGTGTTCTGTTGGACTTGAAAACTTGCTTCCAACTTTGTGTCTGTTTTAGGTAGACCTAATAAAAACTATTTGCCTGTTGTTCGCCTTAAAGTAGAATTAACACATTCCTTTTGCTCTGCCCGGCAATATCATTTTTATTTTATTTTTTTGCCTTTCCTTCCTCCCCTTTTCAATTTTTCAACCCAAAGAAGCATTCTGTTGGACTTGGAAAACTTGCTCACAATTTTGTATCTGTTTTAGGTAGTTCTGATCAAGACTGTGATGTCGTAGGCTTTCATGGCCGGCATCCATAGTTTTTTGTGGCTTTTTCGGCTTTTTCCAGAGTTTCTTTCTGATGTTTCACCAACATTTGTGGCTGGCATTTGATAAAGACTGTTTGCTGGTTACCTTAAACCGGAATGAACAATTTCCCTTTGTTCTGCCGTGCAAAATTTTTTCTTTTTCTTTCCACCCCCTTTTTATTTTTCAACCTGAAGAAGTTTCTCTTAGACTTGGAAAACTTGCTCACAATTTTGTATTTGTTTTTGGTAAAGTTCTGATAAAGACTGTTTGCTTGTTACCTTAAACTGGAATTAACAATTTCCCTTTATTCTGCTGTGCAAAATCTTTTCTTTTTCCTTCCACCCCCTTTTTATTTTTCAACCAGAAAATTTCTGTTGGACTTGAAAACTTGCTCACAGTTTTGTACCTTTCCAAGGTGATCCTGATACAGATTGCTTGCCTGTTGTTCATTTAAAACCGGAATGATCAAATCCCCTTGGATTGGCCTTTGCATTTCACTGTTTGTTTTTCCAGTTCCCTTGCATGATCATGACTTCCTGGTTCTTTTCTTTCCATATCTCTCAGGAGCGGGACAACTTGGGACTGACTTTGTATTTGATAGCCAAAACTGATATTTGCCTGCAGTACAGATTTATCTGTGGGTATTTCCATCATGCCAGGGTCTAAAGACTCTAAAGGCACCAGATCCTGTCCGATCTTGGAAGCTAAGCAGGATCAGCCCTGGTTAATACTTGGACAGGAGACATATATAGCATAGTGGTTTGAGTGTTGGACTACGACTCTGGAGACCAGGGTTCGATTCCCAACTCGGCCATGAAACCCACTGGGTGACCTTGGGCAAGTCACATGCTCTCAGCCTCAGAGGCAATGGCAAACCTGTGAACAAATCTGACCAAGAAAACCCCATGATAGGTTTGCCTTAGAGTTGGCATAAGTCGGAAATGACTCGAAGGCACACAACAACTTATCTCAGTGGAAGGAACTGGTAAAACTTTCCATCTTTTTTCTTCTTTCTGAGTATTCCTTGCGTAAGAAAAAACTATGAAATTCGTCAGGTCATTTTTTTTTTCCTTCCAAGCTCTTTCCCAATGAAAATTCTTCATTGGATATGTTGTTGTAGTTGTGTGTCTTCAGGTTGTTTTCTGGCTTAATGGAGACCCCAAGGTGAACTTATCATGGAGTTTTCTTGGCAATAAAAATAATAAATAATAATAAAATTTTATGTATATCCCGCCTTTAGCCGAGCCTATCAAGGCGGCTTACAAGCTAAAAGCACAATCCCATACAATACAAAGGTTTGTAAGGTTTGTTCAGAGGGGGTTTGCCATTTGCCATTGTCCTCTGAGGCTGAGAGAGTGTGACTTGCCCAAGGCCACCCAGTGGGTTTCAAGGCCAAGCTGGGAATCAAACCCTGGTCTCCAGAGTTGTAGTCCAATGCTCAAACCACTATACCACACTTCCTGGGATGTTGCAGTTTAATCCCTCTTTGCTTGGCCCCAAAGCTGGTTGAACTCTGGATGAAAAAGAATCCTCCCTCGCAGGGATGGGGTTGTTAAAGATGTGATCTGACACCTTTTTTTGCCCCACCTTGAGCACCCACAAAGAAGCAGCAGCCCCACCCTTGCGTCTGGGTGTGTACAACTGTTAATGCAATCATCCTCTTAGTGGGCAGAGGGTGGGACGCCTTTTCCAGGTCAGCTTTGCTTTGCACCCTTTTGCTTTCCTGAATATCTGTGAGGGCGAAATAAATGAAGTTTTGCAAGACCTTTGCGGCAAAAAAAGGATCCCTTGAATTTAGGAGCCCTTTGGCTTGTTTGTTTTGTTAAAAAGATAGGTAAACTCTCACCCTCCGGCTATGTTTCCCAGGTGGATTTACTTAGACCAGGGTCAGGAAATCCCTAAGGGCTCATGGAGTCCATTGGTGGACTCCAACTCACATCACCCCCAACTAGCATGAGGTGGATGATGGGAATTGGGATTTAGGAGTCCTTTGGCTTTTTAAAAAAAAATTGTTTGAAATGGGGAAATAAACTGGCTCTTTTTCCAAAGTGGATTTTCATAAATCAGAGTCAGCAAATCAGAATTCGATAGATGTTGCTGGACTCCAACTCCCATCACCCTAATGAGCATGAGAGGGATGATGGGAGTTGAAATTTAGGAGTCCTTTGGCTTGTTTTTTGTTTTTAAAGATGGGTAAACACTCAGCTTCCGGCTTTGTTTCCAAGGCAGATCTACATAAACCAGGGTTGGCAAATCACTTAGGATTCATTAGATGTTGTTGGACTCCGACTCCCATCACCCCCAACTAGCATGAGGGGGGATGATGGGATTTGAAACTTGGCAACAATCTGGAGGGAGAGCAATATAATCCCGGCTCCATAAAACTAGCTTTCCAAACTGGGTGATGGAGTATCTTTCTAACAGATCTTTGCTAGACTTGTAGATCTGATCCTGTTTTGAAGACTGTCTTAAAATCTCCTTTTTTTTCCCTTCTTCTTCCTTCAGATTACCATCATGTCTGTCTCACACAGTTCCAAGCTAAACAAGGGGGTCAGAGACCAGTACATGAAGCTACCTCAAGGGAAAAAAGTCCTAGTCACGTATATCTGGATAGATGGAACCGGGGAAGGCCTTCGTTGCAAAACCAGAACCTTGAACAAAGAACCGAAGGGCCCTGAAGGTAAAGTCCGGACCCCCTTTCCAGTTTGTACTTGCCATCCTAATCCGACCCCAGTCTTGAGGGCTAGAAACTTGTTGTTCAGGACTAGCCACACTGCAGAATTAATGCAGTTTGATGCCACTTTAACTGCCATGGCTCCATGCTATGAGTTCTAGTTTGCGGTGGCACCAGAGCTCTCCAACAAAGAAGGCTAAATAGCTCACCAAACTACCAATTCCAGAAATCCATACTGGAGCCATGGCAGTTAAAGCGGTGCCGAACCGCATTCATTCTGCAGTGTGGATGCAGCTTCGGATAAGACACTGGCCGGCTCGCTGTGTGTCTTTTTAGTTTTCACTTTCTTGTAGGCTTTGTCTGATGACGTAGAAAGCATCTTTGAATTTCCTCTGGGGGATTTTCAGTTGCGGTTGAGCTGCGATGGGGTTAACGTCACCGGATTGTGCAAAACGGTTGCAACAACTGGGAGATTCATCTTGGCAACGCTTAAAACTCTGACCACAGGGAGTGGAGGAAGGAGGGCTAAGCTCATTCTGGGCACCTATTTATCGACATGGCCTTTTGGTTACAGGGAAATGTCACCAAGCAGTGAGCAATCTTTTAACTAAATCTAGTA